GGTAGTTCATCTTTCAGTAGGTCACAAAGATGACAGAAACCAAGGTTTGATGGATCATCTCAGGAAATCGTGGCTTCTCTTCTCTGAAACCCGTTGAAAATAATAAAGTTTCCGAGTGAGTGGACAACCCAAGGGTTGGACACAATCCTGAAGTCATGGTGTATTTGTGGGAGATGATCTGCGCAGGGCAGACCATTTGCTGTTGATGACAAATTATACATCCAGTGAATCTGAACTTCTCCTGACAAGAAAAGGGACCTCTGTGTTGGGTCAAGTGAGTGTGTGGTGGTAGGGGGTGGGGAGAGGGCAGGCATGAACTGGATGAGGTTGTAAAGAGTTGGGAAGATGTTTAGAAAATCAGTTTACTGAAAATGAAATATAGAGTAGCTCTGGAGAGTGTGACCTTTGGCTTCATCCTGCATAGGCTAAAACCCTCCTCCCAGCTCCATGCTTACTATTGACGTGATCTTGGGAAAGTCACCATTTAGTCCACGCGTCTTAATATTGTCATCAGTAAAATGGGGATGGCAAAGTCCCCATCCCCTAGGGTTATTATGAAGGTTAGTTACATAATGCCTCTGAAGCACTTAGCACAGCTAACTCCATATAATAGGTGCCCAAAAAGTTACAGTTATCTAGGTGCTGGTTTGTTTGTTTGTTTGTTTTTTAAAGGCACATGACTGCAGAAGAGCGTGTTAAAGGAAAAGCTTAAGAGAAGAGAGAGGGGTGCCTGGTGGCTTAGTAGGTTAAGCATTTGACTTCAGCTCAGATCTTGATCTCAGGGTCTGTGAGTTGGAGCCCCACATCAGGCATCCCTACTTCAGATCCTCTGTCCCCTCTCTCTCTGCCTCTCCCCCAACCGACCCCCACTGCACCCCTACTCTCTCTCTCTCAAAAATAAGTAAACATTAAAAAGAGAGAAAGAGTTGGGGCGCCTGGGTGGCTCAGTCGGTTAAAGCGTCCGACTTCAGCCAGGTCACGATCTCGCGGTCCGTGAGTTTGAGCCCCGCGTCGGGCTCTGGGCTGATGGCTCAGAGCCTGGAGCCTGTTTCTGATTCTGTGTCTCCCTCTCTCTCTGCCCCTGCCCCATTCATGCTCTGTCTCTCTCTGTCTCAAAAATAAATAAAACGTTAAAAAAAAAATTAAAAAAAAAAAAGAGAGAAAGAGAGAAGAGAGAAAATTTCAGAGCTAGAAAGAAAACTTGGGGTGGGATTACCATGCTGGAAGGATAGTGTGGGAAACTGGGTGTGTCCAGAGTTCACAGGAACATTGGCTGGAGGACTCTTCTGTGGAAACCAGAAGACTCTGTACAAGCTGGCCCGTCCACCAGTGCTGAGACAAACATTTTTACTTGTGGTGGAAGGAAGCCCTGAATAGTCTAGGAAAAAAACAAAATAGAGATACTCTGCTGTATCTCCAGAAAGTAGAAAGGGGCTAAAGTTGGAGGGCACACACAGGAGCCAGATGAACTTTCTGAGCCAACCTAAGGGAATGCTTAATGACCACAAGGGGGAAGGCAGAGGGAGCACCGTGGGAAGAGGCTATTTTGTGCTCTAGTATATGCAAAGCTAAGTTTATGCCAAGCCTACTGCAAAACGAAAACAAAAACAAAGTGAAAAGTCACCTAGTTTCAACTTGAATTTTGCATATGAATAAACCAAGGCTCTTAAAAAGGGGATAATTGTGTGAGGTGATTTGGTATGCCTGGTGTGTTGTGTGTGGCCATTTCCCAGGCCAGAGGGAATGAAGTAGTACCAGAAAACGTGAAGTGAGGCAAGTCTGTGCACCGGGGGGAGAGGGTCGTAGATGAAAAACCCACCACCACCATCCCTTTATTTTGATCCTGGGCAGTGGCAACAGAAAATAGCCGGGGGTTACTAGCCATGGAAAAATAGGAATGAAAGTAAAATCTTCAATTTGGGGGCCATTTGGGAGAGTTCAAACTGAAGGACATCTCATAAATCTTTAATAACCCCAACTATACCTTCTATTGACAGCAGGAGTTGAAAATTCAAATGCCTTCAAGATAAGGTAACTATGTGAACAAGAAGAGAATAGGAATGTGGGGCGGACTGGCAGACAGGAAGGCTCCACATAAAGGAACTTCCATTTTCTAAAAACACTGGCCTTGCCAAAGGAAACACAGAGGTTGGCTACATTTCCATGTCACCAGTTTGTAAACACTGTTCTCTACATGGTGTTAAAACATGACACATCTTCAAAGGCTTAAAGGCTAAATGCAACATTTTTACTCTAAAGCGACCTGAGAAAAGACAGTTTCGTTTTGAAGACGATACCAAGTGAACGGAAAATGAAAAGTCCTCACATTTTCCCATCTACATATCGATAAAGGGGACAGTTTAACTCTTACATGAGATGGTTTCTATCTCCCGCTTGGAAAAAAAGGAGATATCCTGTAGCTCCAGCAGCAAGCATAGTGTTTGAAACATTGTATGAATGAAACATTTAAAGGTTTATTAAATGAACAAATGGGGTTACAAGTAAAGCAAAGCACCAGCAGAAGACAGACAGCCTCTCTTTGGAAGTCATAAAACTCAGGAGGGTGGATCTTCAGCTCTAACCCTCCTTCTTCCCTTCAGGATTTATTTTTAACCCCAAATGAGCTTGTAAAAGGCCAAAGACTTCAGTATTATGACCTTCATCATCTCATGGCTCTAGCAGGCAACAGAGGACATGGGCACTCTCCCAAGAACAGTTATTACAGAACTCACTCCCCAGGTGGTATCCAAGCGGACTTAGTCCTTTGGGAATGGGGCAAAGGAACTTTAGACGTCATGCAGATAACTGCTGTACTTCCTAACTTCATGGTTCTTGAATGCAAAGTGGGGGTGCCCACCTCACAGAGTTGTAAGGAGTAAATAATATTGCGTATGTAAAAGATGTAATGTAGCACCTGGTACATAGTAAACACCCAGTGAACTGTGGCTATTATTTATCTATTGTGGAAATAGTAGGCGAAGGCATTCTTTTTTTTTTTTTTTTTTTTTTTTTTTTTTTTTTTTGTGAATGCATTCTTATTAACAGCCCTAAATGGGATGGGGGTGGAGAAGTAGGATAGCAAATTGTGAAGCTGTGGGGGGAAAAAAAAAATTTCAACAACTGCCCATAAATCATTTTGGAAAAGGTAGAGGTGGACAAATGTATAAATAACTAAAATGTCCTACATTTAAATGCAAATCCTTAGGTATATGTGTATATACTTAAATATATCCATAGAGTTCCTCTGGAACAATAGGGAAAGTGGTTACCTCCAGGAAGGGCTTGTACTGGGAAGAGTAGCTGGGGAAAGACTAAAATTTTGCATTGTATCTCCATTATCTACTAAAAATTCGCAATTCATTTTTAAATTAAGTGCTAATGGTTTAAGATCTCTCCTAAATTTTGCTAAATTTGAAACCGTGTGAAATTGCGGAAGGCGGCTTTCGGCTTTTACTGTCAGAGCCCTGATACCGCCCCCTCGCGCCTGGTACCCGCCACTACAGCTACTCCCTGCAGCAACGGCCGGGCTCACCCTGAACCTGTATTTCTCCAATACTCATCAGGGTCCAACCATAAGTAGTTAATTCATTAACTAAACTATTAGCTTCTCAGACACTCCAATGCTTTAATGGTCGAAAATCTAAACACTGGGAAGGATGACTTTACCTCATTCCTCATTCTTGCTGGGCAACTGAAACATTCAATTATTTAAATTACAATATACGCATCCATCATCCTTACATTTTTTCCCGTTTTAAACTCGACAATTAACACAAGAAAAAGGACTTTTCTACTTTCTCAATTGTATCTCAAGTGCACATCATTTTAAAAATTAAATTTCCATTAACTCATCATTTGCTACAATAATTTCCTTCTTTGCATGTGTTGAAATGGAAGTTACTGTTCCACATACAAAATTTCCTTATGTGCTTTTATTTGGGTAAAAGGTTCTGAACTCTGTTTCAGGATTTTTAACTCTGTGCTCTAGGATATTTACTGTGGTGGTGTACATTTGTTAAACTAATGCTTTTATTATTTTAAAATCTATGTGTTCTCAGTGTAGAGATATTTTGGGAAATACAACAAAGCATAATAAAATAAAAGCAAGCCCTAATTCCACCATCATCAGATAACTACTATTAACATTTCTATTTCCTCCCGGTTCTTCTAATACCTGTATGTCTTTACACACAATTTTCGAACTGAATTTTGAAATGTCCAAGGTATATTTCCACTGTCATATATAGATGTTAAAAGTCTGTCCTGGTTATATATTGCAAAGATATTCTTACTAGAAAACTACTATGTTATTAGGAACTGCACGGCATGTTTGGATATAATGGCAGAAGGTCATTTTGAACATACCCACTAATTCAGAGTTAGTATTAGACGTTCTGTAAATGCTATATTTGTATTCCGTTACATAACTCCCGGATGCATTTCGCCCAGATCACACCTCAGACTGAACTTCTTCCCAGGGCATCGCCTCCTCATTCAATAACCTTGTATCCTGGCCTTTGACAAATATTTGTGCATGAATGGAATTCTTAGGGGCCAACTCTGGTGACTTAAGTGGGTAACGGTGCATGATCCCAGACAAGAGAGAGATAAATCAGGGTCGGAACCCCTCGATGCGAGCGAGGGGGGTGTGGTGGGGGGGTACCGTGCATTGGTAGGTTAGAAACCTGAGCGAGTGGCAACCTCGTTATTTTATTTTACTTGTCTGTTTGCTCACCTATTTGAGAGAACAATCTCGATCCTCTCCTCCACAGGGCAAGTTCCCAGCGAGCCGCGGGACTCAATAAAAAAGCTGGGGGGGGCGTGTTCCCATGCGCAAGGCCCGCGTTGGACGCGCCAAGGCTGGGGAAACCCACCCCGCGCCCAGAACAGGATATAAAGAGAGCCTGGCTGCGGCGGTGGGGCAGCTCCCGGTTTCGCGCGGGGTAAAGCTCCCTTCGTCTGTCCGCATCCGTGCCTACTATCCACCGGACACCTCGAAAATGGCACCCGTTGGGGGCAAAAAGGCCAAGAAGGTGAGTCTACAGGGGACCCGAGGGCGCTCTCCATCCCAGCGGTGGCTCTGAGGCTCGACCCACCGGCCCCGCGCCCCAGCGTCAGGAAGTGCAGAGGGGTCCCCAGAGCCCGGCTGTGACCAAAAGGTGCTCTCAGAATCTCTCGGGCGGGACCCCAAGGTGCCTCTGAGCTCCCCCCAACATCCCTGCCCATATCCAGAGCGCGCCCTAGATCTACGTGACCCGGGGGGACACCCCCAGAGCTCCAAGACTCCCAACGTTTTCTGAGTCCCGCACCAGAGCACTACCTCAGAGGTGTGGCTCCTAGACCCACAGGCACGACTTTTCTTCCCGACAGCGGCGGGACTAGGGAGCTTCTGGTGACTTCCGGCTCCCCTGGCCACCCCGCGTCACTGCCCGCGCCGCTGGGCGCGCCCCTCTGCGCCCTGCGTGGGCAGGCGAGGGAGGCGCGCGGCCGCGGCTGCCAGACCGTTTCGTGCCCGCGCCTCGACGGGTGCAGCGGGGCCCCGGGGCCGCCTACCTGCCGCGTTTTGGGGCACGCAGCCTTCCGGGTCCCGCCGCAGCCCCAAGGCTCACGCGTTGGGTGGGCCATGGTAAGTTTGCACCCGCAGTTTGATTTCTGCGATCACAATAAAATGAACCATTCAAGCCTCGGGGAAAAAAATGGGCACAGGGACTGTAAGATATTGAGTAAGGGCCGTTAAAAAGATTGAAAAACCAAAACCCAGCAACTCCACCGCCTGATTAACAAGCCTATCTCTTTCCTAGTTGGGATGAGCGTTCCAGTACAGACTGTCTGCCTTGGGCTAGTTTGGGGAGTGGTGGGGGAGGGGTGGATGGATAGATGGATGGAGGAACAGACGGACTGTGGGACTATGGTTGGGGCTGGAGGGAGGAAGCAATATACTTGACCCTTGGGTGTCAAAGTACCCTGCCCCCGCCTGGCTGACAGAGGGCCCCAGGGACTGAGAGACAGATGGGGCCAGGCCAACTGTAGGGGCTGTTAGAATAAAACTAGCTTTCACCATATTAAGAATGTGTGCTTAAGTATTCATTTGAGGCTTTACAATAAAATATTTTCACTTAATCCTTCTGTAGATATTTCTTCAAAGATAACATCCTCCCACCACATTCTTCAAAACTCTTATTGTGTTCTGAAAGACCCTCACCCCTAGCACATGTATACACATATTTTCATATTTTCATTATATGAGCATTCTGGTTGTTTGCCTTAGAGTCATGAATTTATAAATACATGTACTTTCTGTGAATTCTAAAGAAATCATACTTCTCAAGAATACCATAGCAAAAGTACTAAAAATAGAAAATTGTCTCAAACTCAAGTAACTCCCTTCCTTCGCCCCCCAACCCCCATCTGTAATTTTAGGGCATCCTAGAACGTTTAAATGCTGGAGAAGTTGTGATTGGAGATGGAGGGTTTGTCTTTGCACTGGAGAAGAGGGGCTATGTGAAGGCAGGCCCCTGGACCCCAGAAGCCACAGTGGAACACCCAGAGGCAGGTTGGTGCATATAGCTCTCTTCTAAGTTCTCATAAAAGAATGCGACATCGACCAGTGTAGGAGCATGCCATCAAACACAGACATTCGTGGCACATTGTCCAACATTCATTATTGCCTGCTGGGCACTGTGCTAGGCATGTAAGTACAGAGTCACAGGTTGGATGATCGCAATGGCCCTTCCTGTGGCTGTCACCTGTGTTTGCCTCTTGGTTCCTGCCCCCCTCGCACTAGGTGAGTGTAGAACCTGGCTCACTGCTTTCCTCTCTGCCCTTCCCTCCCTCACCACTTGGGGTGACTTCAGTGTCCATGCAGATGATCTGTCCAGAACTCTTCCTGTTAGTGCCTTGATCTCATCTCCAGTTGAATGTTTCCTCCACCCTCCACCTCAGCAATGCACTCCTAGACCTTGCCATCACCCCTAGCTGTCTACTTTGGAAATCTCAATTACGAGGGCCCCATTTTCTAACCACCACCTTCTTTCTGTCTTTCCTGCCGACTCTAATTCTCCCACTCCTCAGCCTCACCAAGATTCTCAGTCCTTCATCCCTTCCATGTTAGCATTTATTATCTATTCTGTCCCCATGTGTTCATCCCCCCTCCTTACCCACTTTAAGTTCCATGGCACAGCATCACTCACTGTCTGGGAGATAAGCCCTCCTCCATTGTACGCTTGTCAACTAGTTAAATGCATTATATACTAGCCCCATCCTATTTAAGTTCAACTATCTACCTGCCCTGCACCCATACCCATGTACCTTATTCTCACTTTACTCTTTTGACCACAGATCTCTTACAGGGAGATGCAAAGAGGGGAGGTGAGATGGAACATGAGGGAGATAATGCTGTCTTACAAGGCTTCTGCATCAACCTAAAGCACGGAGGAAGCATTCATTTATTTTTTTTAATGTGTATTTATTTATTTTGAGAGAGAGAGCAAAGGAGGGTCAGAGAGACAGAGAGAGAGAGAGAGAGAGAGAGAGAGAGAGAGAGGGAGAGGGAGAGAGAGAAAAGGAATCCCAAGCAGGCTCCACACTGTCAGCACAGAGCCCAATGCGAGGCTCCATCCTCAGAACCGTGAAATCATGACCTGAGCCAAAATCAAGAGTCAAACACTTAACCAACTGAGCCACTCAGGTGCCCCAAACATTAATCTTTAAAAGAGAGAAATGGGCCACTTCGGCAGTCCCAGAGAGTTCAGGGAGGAATTTGGGTTTTTAAGGTTATGAGTGAATCCACCCATATGTCTTCACCCCAATCTCAGGGTCCTATGTCTTCCTGATCAGACCCTGACTTTGGCAGTAGAAGCCTTCTGTGGTTGATGATTCAACCTCTCTGACTCTCTGCTCCCTGTATAATTTAGTCCTGGGCCAGATCCTCAGCTTTTCTGCTTGCTATAGCTACAAGAGGTGTTTCTTTATATACCACCCAGGAGATCCTCAGACTTTCAGACGTTGTCTTAAACTGGTGATGAATCACCCTTAACCTTTCATTGCCTTTCTCCAGTATGTTGGTGGTACCCAACAATAGCCATCCGATTCTAAAGTCTTTATAATTACTACTTCCTCTGAACCTCTCAAACATTTGAGATAGTGCACCTGCTAGTACATTCCCTTCTAAGGGCAGCTCATTCTAGTTCACCACAGGTGAAAGTTTTTAAACAATTGTACCCCTAGAGCATGCTGGGAACTCTGCCACCCATAATGAGCTAGGTACTCGTTACCAGCTGGCCAGAAGTGGAGATTTGTGCTCAGGAGTTTTAATGAGGAGTGCATTTATGAAATAACACTTCTAAGGGAGTGAGGGAAGCAGGAATGGGCAGAGGGAGGAATTACACTATAATGCAGTTGTAACAGAGGCTTTGGCCAATTCCTCAGGAAGCTCTGGAGTTGGACAGGTGCTTCAGAGTACTCCCAAATTGAGACCAGGGAGCTGGATCTTTGTTCTCTCCTTACCAATAGACCAAGCTTTGCATGCGAATTATCAACCCTCTCCTCTTCTAGGAGAGAGCTTAGCCCCTGGACAAAGAAGCACCCTTTGGCTTAGGGCACTTCCTAGAGAAGGTCTCAGAGGACAGCTATCAGTAGTCAACACTGTGAAAGAAGTGGACTCTTTCAGAGGAAACTGGAGGAAAATTTCTTGTGAATATTATACAGATTGAACAGTTGTCTTCAATGTTTATTAAAGAGCATATTTCAGTGAACTCAGTGATAAGGGATAGAAACTAACAAAGCATATAAACTGAGAGACAGTACAGCTTTACAATTAAGCGTACCGATTTTGGATTCAGGCTAATTGAATCAAATTTTGACAGCCACTAGGCTGTGTGACCTTGGGGAAATCACTTAGCTTTTCTGGGACTCAGATTCCTCTTCTATAAAACTGAGATAATATTGACATCTACTTCAAAGGTTATAAGAATTAAATAAGTTGTATATAAAGTCTTTAAAATAGTGCCTGATGCATGTCAAACACTACAAGTATTAACTATTATTAAATTCATTGTTTCTTCTCTTGATAATATCTTATATAATATCTAGATAATAACTTCTCTATTTCTGCTAGAGAAGTATAGAAATTTTGTGTTCAAATCACACTATCCTGAAATAGTATTCAAAGGAAGAGAGCTATAGTCACACTGTTAAACCCAGCAAATATACACAACTTTCATATTTCCAAATAAATGTAGAAATAATGCTCTGTTCTACCCCTGAAGGAAGGAAGAAAGAAAGGAAGGAAGAAGGAAGGGAGGGAGGAATTCAGTAGGCTCGGGAAGCTAAAACAGCAGTAGTCCTCAAATTTTTATTGTACCAGCAGTCGGTTAAAAATTATAGGTTCCCAGCCTCCACTTAGACATTTGGATCTATTAGGTCTGTGAGTGGGTCCAGGAACCTGCATATTTATAATTGTCCCCAGGTGATAGCAAGGTGAACCATGCTTTGGGAAGCATTGCCATTAAAGGGTTTTAAGGAACACAATGGAATAATTAAGATACAAGAATGAGGTTTTAAAATATATCTATGGTCTGTTTCTTTTTTTTTTTTTTAATGTTTATTTATTTTTAAGAGAGAGAGAGAGAGTGCGAGCAGGGGCAGGGCAGAGAGAGAGGGAGACACAGAATCTGAAGCAGGCTCCACACTCTGAGCTGTCAGCAGGGCTCAAACCCACAAACCATGAGATCATGACCTGAGCTGAAGAAGTCAGACGCTTAAACGAGTGAACCACCCAGGCGCCCCTCTATGGTTTGTTTCTTAAGGTCAGCTTGCTGGGTTAAACTCAATGAAATATTTCTTGAGCCAAGCTGATATTAATGATAAGCTACCTTTGTGCCAACTCTGCCATGTAAATAAAATAAGGCTTTTATTTAAACCACAAGCTTTGAGGGGCGCCTAGATGGCTCAGTTGGTTAAATGTCGACTTTGGCTCAGGTCATGATCTTACGGTTTGTGAGTTTGAGCTGCATGTCCGGCTCTGTGCTGACAGCTCAGAGCCTGGAGCCTGCTTCGGATTCTGTGTCTCCCTCTCTCTCTTCCCCTTCCCTGCTCACATTCTGTCTCTCTCAAAAATAAATAAACATTAAAAAACTTTTTTTAAACCACAAGCTTCAATTTTATAAGTCACATTTTTTTTTTTAAGTTATGCATTAGAGGAGTTCGAGAGAAACTGTTCTGATATTGATTTTACTTTTATTAGTGCAGAAACAACATGTTTATCACTTGGCCCTCTGTTTCTTGAGTTTTTTTGTCTTATTTTAAGTGGACTAATTCTCCTACTAAAGTCTATGCCAAAAATTGTGGTTCTTGTACCCAGTGGAATTAGCAAAGAATTCAGCAAAGAATTAAGGTTTGCTGGATCTGGAGTGGTGTAGGGAATCTGAATCCGTATTAATTGCCCCCATGTGAGTCTAAGTGGGGTTACGCTTTTGAGAAGCTCTGCAGCTTTAAGAAGCATAGAAGAATATCAAATTGATTAAGAGCAAGGAGTTGGGTCACTGCCTTCTGGCAAAATCTAACAAAAGGGTATAAAACGCATGTAAAATATACATATACACAATTTGCCCGCTATTCCAGGGTTTTTTTTTTTAATTATTAAAAAAAAAATTTTTTTTTGTAATGTTTATTTATTTTTGACAGAGACAGAGACAGAATGCGAGTGGGTTAGGGGCAGAGAGAGAGAGGGAGACACAGAATCCGAAGCAGGCTCCAGGCTACGAGCTGTCAGCACAGAGCCTGACGCGGGGCTTGAACTCACGAGCTGTGAGATCATGACCTGAGCCGAAGTTGGACGCTCAACCGACTGAGCCACCCAGGCGCCCCTAGATAGGGTTTTTAAACAGAGTTTCTAAAAATCCACCCAAGGACCCCCTGGGTAGATTTCCCAATTATAAGCCATCTCATCCTAGTGTATGGGAAACCCCATCTATAGGCCCTTCACCCTGCTCCAACCACAGCAGCTCTGTGTTTGATTAATAAACGGGACTGTGTATGAAGTGTTGTTAATTGGTGCCTTTTGCTAATTAAAACAATTTTTAGTGGCGCCTGGGTGGCTAAGTCGCTTAAGTCTCCAACTCTTGGTTTCAGTTCAGGTCATGATCTCACAGTTGGTGGGTTCAATCTGCACATGGAGCCCTGCCCGTCTGGCTCCACACTGACAGCACGGAGCCTGCTTGGGATTCTCTCGCTCTCAGAATAAATAAACTTCAAAAAACAAAAAAGAAAAACAAAACAAGTTTGAAGTTTCCTCATTTAGGCAAGCTTCTAAGTTCCCACTCAGGACTAGAGTTTCCAGGCTTAGAAACCCATTTTCTGAAATTCAAAAGCTTTTTTGCTTCACTTTCTTGCTCACTGAAAAACAAAACTGAGCTTCCTATGTTCTCTGCCCTCTACTAGGTAGCTAGGATGCAAAGACACCAGACTCCTCTTCCATAAAGGGCTAAGGGCTCCAGTGTCCTAATAATTTCCTAGCCTCTAATGTAGTCCCTCCCAGACCTTTTGACTTTTAACCTTCTTACTTTTAAAGGCCTCTGAAATGTCAAAATAGATTTCAGGGGCTGACACAGGATTGCTGACTTCTTACTTTGCCCAGTTGATTCTCCTGACAAAAACGAACACCTGTGAAGTCTCACTATCATTTTATAAAAACAGCATTTTGGGGCACCTGGATGGCTCAGTCAATTGAGCATCCAACTCTTGATTTTGGCTCAGGTCACGATCCCTGGGCCATGGGATTGAGCCCCACATTGGGGCTCCATGCTGAGTGTGGAGCCTGCTTAAGATTCTCTCTGCCCCTCTCCCTGGCTCACACTCTAAGATAAACAAATAGGGTTGCCTGGGTAGGTGTCAGTTGAGTGTCCAACTTTGGCTCAGGTCATGATCTCGTGGTTCATGGTTCTTGAGTTCGGGTACCATGTCTGGCTTATTGCTGTCACTGGAGCCCGCTTCAGACCCTCCACCCTCTCCCCTCTGTCTGCCCTCACCCCCCTGTGCACTCTCTATCTCAAAAATAAAATATCAGCTTAATAAATAAATAAATAAATAAATAAATAAATAAATAAATAAAATAGAGCATTTTCCCAGTCCTAGTCTTTATTTCCCAAAATAAAGTAGAGCATTTTGGTGGTTTTCAACAAAACTGCAGATAAGAATCAGTTGGAGAAACACACACACAAAATCTATGCCCTGCCCCCACACTGATTAAATTAGAATATTTGCGAATTTGGCCCTAGCATCCATTGTTTTTAAAAAGCTTGCAGAGTGTCTAATGGGGAACCAGAATTTAGGACTACTATTTAAAGCAAAGGTAGTTCCTTAAAATGAGTTTATTTGATCAAATGTGGGGGGGAACCCCATATTTTCTTTAGCCTGTAAAAACTATTCATCCACAGACCTATGCTTGGGAACCTTGCTCCAATTCTTAGTCCACCCTACTACCAAAATTATCTTTCAAAAACAGTGAACTAATAACATCACTCAATTGCTTACAAACTGCTGGTGTTTCCCCGAACCTGTGGTCTGCAGCCCAGACTCCTTAGGATGATGTTCTAGGCCCTTGGTACTCTGTCAGCCAGCCCACCTCTCCACCTGTCTCTCCTACTACTTCTCTTATACATCCTCAACTCCAGCTTCTCAGACTACGTGCTGCACCCCCAAATGCCAAGCCTAGTCCTGCCTCCTTTTTGTTCAAGCCCTTACCTCTGTAGGGAATGCCTTTCCCCACCTTCTCCGCCCAGCAAAAATGTTCAAATGATGATTCCTCCCTTGTGGGATCTCCCTCTTCCCTTCACCCCACGTGCATGGTAGAAATAATCTCTTCTTCTTAACGAGAGACCCCAGAGCTACCTCTCATTAGCCCCCAGCATGCACCAATGCCCAGCAACCAGGAATGTGAGCAGATGTTTTCACATCTGTTTATGTGATAGCCTTTTGAGATCACGGGTGATAAACTGATAGTAATTAATACCTCTCCTCATTTAATCTCCCAGTTCGCCAGCTTCATCGAGAGTTCCTCAGAGCTGGATCCAATGTCATGCAAACCTTCACCTTTTATGCAAGTGAAGACAAGCTGGAGAACAGGGGAAACTATGTTGCAGAGAAAATATCCGTGAGTAAAACCATACATGGCATTCTTAGAAGGGCCTAGTAGACACATGTGTCATCACAGAAGTTCTTGTAGAGAAAAATGTTGCGCCGCTTCAGGGTTTTTAGATAATACAGAAATGAGATATGTGTGAACAACTCTTCTAGGTTTTAGCTGGAGTCCTCAAAATTGACAGAAAAGCATTTTTTTTTTCAACGTTTATTTATTTTTGGGACAGAGAGAGACAGAGCATGAACGGGGGAGGGACAGAGAGAGCGGGAGACACAGAATCGGAAACAGGCTCCAGGCTCTGAGCCATCAGCCCAGAGCCCGACGCGGGGCTCGAACTCACGGACCGCGAGATCGTGACCTGGCTGAAGTCGGACGCTTAACCGACTGCGCCACCCAGGCGCCCCAACAGAAAAGCATTTAATGAAGCAGGTCAAAGAAGGGGGTGGTTAATGATGAGCGATTCTCTCAGTCTCCTAAGTTGCTGAGAGGGTAACCTAACCAATTCTTACACCCTTAAAGGTTTTTAATGTGGCACAGTGTAGGGGAAGGGTCAAAGGCACAAGGGGGCAGTGACCCTGGAATCTTCCTGGCTCAGCTATAATCAACCTTGTTGTGTTGGGCAAACCATTCAACTATGCCATCAAAGCGACAACTTCTTGATCCCTAAAATGAAAAAGAAGTTCCAACATTCCATGAGTCTGTGTGACTTACAGCATCGGGGTTTAGTGAAGACAAGTGTTAATTTTTAATGCCTACGTAATTAGAAAATACCTTGTGATTATCTGTTAATTAAGAAAATACATAATGACAAAAAGTCATGAATTCTGTCATCATTTTAATGATGGCATCATCAACATCGTCATCACCACTATTTGCTAGGTATTTCTCTAAGTGCAGCTTAGGCATTAGAAGATACCAGCTCCTTTTATTTAAGATTTTTACACTCTCCCAGATCATTGGTATGTAATATCCTATATGCTATCATTGGATTTATTGTTTTCATTACTACTATTGGTGTTGTTACTGCAAATTGCTCAACTTGGTAATATGAACTATTCTGTCCCTGTTATTTTCTAGAATAAAATCTCTATTGTAACATACAACTGAGATGTGGATATTTGAATAATAATTTGGTTTGAACTTCACATGAAAATGTTGATATATCATATAATCATCCATTTTAGGGGCAGAAAGTCAATGAAGCTGCTTGTGACATTGCCCGGCAAGTGGCTGATGAGGGAGACGCTTTGGTGGCAGGAGGTGTGAGCCAGACGCCTTCGTACCTTAGTTGCAAGAGTGAAGCTGAAGTTAAGAAAGTATTTCAGCAACAGTTAGAGGTCTTTTTGAAGAAGAACGTGGATTTCTTGATTGCAGAGGTAAACGAACATATCACCAAAGATGAGACATAGACACTTAGTACATTTTCTCTACCTTTTGCTTTCATGGGGAGCAGGTGAGATTAGGTGCCAATCATGGCTAGCAATATTCAGTATTAAAATCTTTTTTCCAATTTAAGCTTTCTAGTGAATTTGATTCACTTAATCTAATAAAGTGTTCTTCAAACCTTTTGACTGCAATTCACAGTCATCAACCGTCTGTGGCATTTAAAAAATGCTAATGGGTCACACTCAAAATGTGAAGACGATTCAACTAGTGATAATTATTAAGCAGTAGAATACGTTTTCTAACTGGGGAGAAACAAGATTAAAAGTACGTCAACCTGATCTTATTTCAGTATTTTGAACATGTGGAAGAGGCTGTGTGGGCAGTCGAAGCCTTGAAAGCATCCGGGAAACCTGTGGCAGCTACCATGTGCATCGGCCCAGAGGGAGATTTGCATGGCGTCAGCCCCGGCGAGTGTGCAGTGCGCCTTGTTAAAGCAGGTGATGACGCGTTTTGACCAGTTTGCAATTAGTGAGTCTTTTAAAATTACGTAAGGGACACCTGGGTGGCTCAGTTGGTTATGAGTTCTACTTCCTATGAGTTCTACTTCCGCTCAGGTCATGATCTCACTGTGCGGTTCCTGGGTTGGAGCCCGCATGAGCCTCTGGGCTTTGAGCCCGCAAAGCCTGCTTCGGATCCCCCGCCTCCCTCTCTCCCTGCCCCTCCCCCAAACTGGCTTTCGCACGCACATTCTTTCTTGCTCTCAAAAAATAAAATAAATAATAAAATTACATACAAATGTAGGTCCACCTGTTAGTCCTATATACTACTTTTGCTTAAAGGAAAACTAAAAATTTGCTCTTCTAGGAGTATTGATAATAATATTGAGTCCAAAAGAGAAAAAAGTAAAGTAAAAAGTACACACACCAGCCTTTTCAAAGGGGCCACTAGACCTACACTGTAGGTTTAATACCTAGAAATGAGAAGAATTTCAGTAAATCAAAAGCATTAGAAAAACATGTTTTATTTTAAACCTAAATTGAGGCCTTTAAACATATACAAAAAGCAAAGCATATCAGACTTAAAAGTTCAGTTGTTTTCTTTGCCAGAGTTTTTCCATTTTCATAAATTACTGATATGCTTCGCTTTTTGTAATCGGTATAATGAACTTAAAATAATTTGGTATGAAATACTGACTAACTTATCTTTTTCAATAATTTCCATTCCTAACATTGGGTTTCATTTCAATTAGGGAAAACTCACAAAATGTTTTCAAAGCTGCCTCACTTTATTATTTTTTTTAATGTTTATCTTTGAAAGAGAGAGAGAGAAGGCAGGCGACCTGGGGAGGGGCAGAGAGAATCCAAAGCAGGCTCTAGGCTCTGAGCTGTCAGCACAGGGCCCGATGTGGGGCTTGAAGCCACGAACCGCCAGACCATGACCCAGGCCGAAGTCAGACACCCAACCCACTGAGCCACCCATGAGCCCCTCAAAGCTGCCTCATTTTAAATGCAAGGCATAGCTCAGGGTCAGGGGAAGAGTCCAACTCACTCTGAGGAACAGAGACACTATGTTTGGCCATGTTTCATTTCTGATTTTTATCCAACTCCTGATATTTCATAAAAGTCACTTCATACTTGTCATTAACAATAACAATTATTTAGATTTAGGAATGAGGCTATATAATCCTAAATTTTGGGGGGGAAATGTAACAATGGGGGGGAGGAGAAGCATGTTAACTTGTTTCAAAAAGATCAGAAGAGGCTTTCATGACCCCTATTGTTAATTGGCAGAGATTCGTGGCCTGCGTCTAATTCTTCCCCCACCATTCCATTCCAGGTAGGTGGCCACGGAGCTTGACATCACTGTGCCACTTATCTCGTTTGTGTATCGCTTTAATGTCTGACTCACTAGACTGTAAGGTCAAAGAAGGCAGAGACTGTGTCTGTCTGGCTCAGCACTGAGTGCCCTGTGCCTAGGACAGCACCTGGCACAAAATAGGTCCTTAATTAATATCAGCCTAATAACTCCAGTCCATCTTCCAATGTTAGCTCAAATTCTACCTCCACATCCCCATACATCACCACACATACCCCAAGTAAACACTCCCTCCTCTCAGCAACTAGAACACTTTCTACTTACACCACTCATTTGGAATATCCTCAGTCAGCATCTTCTAATCTGTGAGAACATTATTAGGGTTCTGTAGTGAAATATATTTAGAAAGTGCTGTGTTAAACCAAGTCACACAGGTCCCTTCACTACAGAATTTCTCAGAGCCTTAGTGCTCGCTTAGGCGGTGCATATACTAAAATTGGGAAAATACACAGAATTTCTCAGAGCCTTTGATATGTTTGTGTATAGCAGCAGTCTCCAAGAAGGGGATATAGTAAACAGCTACTTCCTCACAAGTGATCATAGAGCTTTGTTTTCAGGGAGCAAACCTAAGGAAGCCCTTTGTGTCAAACCTTATGAAACCCTTGGTGTCAGGGACCATGTCCTATATTTATATTTCTCTATAATCCCTTAAAAGGACCCTTATACCTAATAGATATCCAAGAGGTAACCAACATAGGATTAATTCATTAGTGTAATGAAGTCAAACAAGGAAAGAGAAACTCTGGCAGAACATCCAAAAAAAGAAGATGAAGAAGAAGAAGAAGAAGAAGAAGAAGAGGAGGGGGAGGAGGAGGGAGGAGGAGGAGGAGGAGGAGGAAGAGGAGGAGAAAGAGGAGAAGGAGAAGGAAAAGAAGCAGCAGAAAGAAAGAAAGAAAGAAAGAAAGAAAGAAAGAAAGAAAAAGAAAGAAAGAAAAGAAAGTAAAGGTAGTCAAGATCCAAGTGAAGATATTAAGTAAGCTGTTGAATATTTAAGTCTGGGACCCAAAGGAGAGGTCACGGTTAGAGAGCGAAATTTGGAGAGTTCTGGATATAGATCATACTGAAAGCCCTGGGACTGGAAAGGAAATGTAGGAGAAGAAAAGATGGCCCACTGGGATCCTAGGACATTGCAAGATTGAAAGGTTCGACCTTGAGGGGGTCGGCACCTAACGCCCAAAGAAAGCAACCAGTGAGGTAGGAGCACCACTGAGAGAGCATGAGAAGCCAAGAGAAGGGGAGTGTTGATGAAGGAGGGGACGGCCCACCAGGATGATGCTGCCCGGACACTGCATCAGATGAGAACAGAGGGACAACAACTGGATTTGGTAAGATCAAGGTCACTGGTGCTCTTGGACAAAAAACTGATTCGGAGAAATAACAGGAGGGAGGATTGGAACAAGAATGAAGGAGCAAACTGCAGACCCAGCCCAGTGAAAACCGCTGAGATGCTTGCCCCTGAACACTGGATGCCGTGGCTTGTGGCATCAGCTTAGCTGCTCCCAGAATCTGGATTAGTGATATTTTTTAATTGGCCTGATGAAAGGGAACACTGATCCTCAAGTGAGTGGTATGGTAACCACGAGCTGGGGGTGTTAAAAAATTATTGTGTCAAGATTGAAAAGTTGACTTCTAAAATTTGTAGTTAAAAAAAACAACAACCTTTAGTAATGATTTTTTGGAAAAAAGATGGACAGCCAAGTGTACATAAATGACACTTCGGTTGTAACAGATTCTTCACAACACTTTTCCCAGAAAGCCCTTGCTGCCTGTTAGTAATCATTCCCACGCAGAGGTAAGCTAGGTTCGCAAGGAAGCAAGAATCAAAGGCTGTATTTGTAATTCACTGTTTCAAATAAAAGCTCCTTGATTAAGAGAGGAGAGTTGGGGCCACCGGTTATCTGATGAATCCCTAAAGCTTAGTTGTTCTTCCCACTTGCAGGAGCTTCCATCGTTGGTGTGAACTGCCATTTTGACCCCACAATTAGTTTACAAACAGTGAAGCTCATGAAAGAAGGCTTGGAGGCTGCCCGACTGAAAGCCCACCTGATGAGTCAGCCCTTGGCCTACCACACTCCTGACTGCAACAAGCAGGGATTTATTGATCTACCAGAATTCCCCTTTGGTAAGACAGACATTTTATAAATTATCTCAATGTCTTGATGTTTGACAAATTCCAAATCTACAGCCATAGAGCTTTGTCACAGCAAAGAAATGGCAGCATATCTCATCTCTTGCCCTCAGTGTCTCTCCCTGCAGCCAAAAGCCCTTTGATATTTGACCACAGTAGAAGGAAAAGATGGAACCGACAAGCAAAAAAGATCTCTGAACCTTTTAGCTGTAGGCTGGTAAAAAGGATGCCCTTCCGGGTGTGATCAGCAAAGACTTTGGTTCTGGTTCCAGCTCTGTCGCCGAGTTATGTAACCTTAGCAAAACCGCTTAGTTCTAAACCTTAATTTTCTCATCAGAAGAATTAAAAGGATAGACCGGTTTATGTCCAAGTTACTTTTCCCCTGTTCTTGAGGGCAAGGAGAAGATACCATCACTAGGTTACTGTATAACAACTTTGAATGAAGAGGCTGAGCAGATGCAGGGAGGGAATACTTGGCAGTCTAGGAAAAGGGGTCAAGCATGTGTGGGAAGTCGGGTGTGTCCACCTGAAAATCCAGCCAGAGAGATCACCAGGGCCAGAGTTTGGCCAGCTTCTACTCCATTCTAAGGTCCTTAGATACTATATTTTATAGGGACCCTCAGAGAAGTAAGGTATTATAACATAATCCATCTAGAAGAACCATGGATAAAGAATGGCAAAGCGTCTGTGTTATTGGCATAGAACAAATTATCGCAAAATTTAGTGCCTTTAAACAACAAATAGTTATTATATCTCAGAGTTTCTGTGGGTCATGAATTTGGGAGCAGCCTACTGGATAGTTTTTGCTCAGCATCCCTTATGAGGCTGCAGTCCAGATACTGGTCAGGTTTGTAGTCCTCTGAAGACCTGATGAGAGCTAGGGAATCTACTTCCAAGCTCCCTTTGTTGGCTGTTGGGAATAGGTTTTAGTGTCTTGCTGTTCTATTAAACAGAACTAGAGGCCTCAGTTCCTTAAATTATTGGCCTTTCCACTGTGATGCTTGAGTGTTCTCACAACATGCAGTTGTTCAAAGAGAACAAGAGAGATTGAAGCAGAAACCGTAATGCCTTGTATAACCTAACCTCAGAAGTCACCAACCATGCCTTCTGACCTATTCTATTGGTCTCTCAGACCAACCTGATATGAGAGGGGACTACACAGGGTAAAAACATAAGAGGGCAGGAATCATTGGGAACCATCTTGAAGGTTGGCTATCACAGCATTTAAAAATGGGCATGTAAACGCCAATTAGCTAATAATTTTAAAAAATAAAGAAGCGAATGTTAACAACTTACTTAATTCAGTTCTTGAAAATTACATACTTATTATAGCTGTTTATTTTGAATATTTTTTTAAAAAAAGAATTCACTCCATTACTACAGGACTGGAGCCCAGAGTTGCAACAAGATGGGACATTCAGAAATATGCCAGAGAGGCCTACAAGCTGGGGGTCAGATACATTGGCGGGTGCTGTGGATTTGAGCCCTACCATATCCGGGCGATTGCAGAAGAGCTGGCCCCAGAGAGGGGATTTTTGCCACCAGCTTCAGAAAAGCATGGCAGCTGGGGAAGTGGTTTGGATATGCACACCAAACCATGGATTAGAGCCAGGTAAGAACCTTTAAACTGTATTTGCCAAACCAAACTCATTTGGATTATGAGTATGTCCAAGTGAGGTCACAACAAAGAGTATAGATAATTTGCTGCATGATGATAGATAATGTTATCCTCCTTCAATTCTTTCATAGACATGTTTATAAAATAGCCTATGTAGTGATCTCTGGCTTTAGAATATAAATAATGTAAATTGCAATGAAGTGTGATTTCATGTTCTGGGCTAGAACCATGTGGTAGACACTGAACAACATTTAACCGATTGGTTGTTAGGATTTAAGTATAAGTTAGGACACCTGGGTGACTCAGTCCATTGGACATCTGACTCTTGGTTTTAGCTCATCTCATGGTTTGTGAGTTCAAGCCCTGTGCTGAGCCTCGCATTAAGCCCCACGTAGGGCTCCATGCTAAAAGCATGGAGTCTGCTTGGGATCCTCCTCTGCCTCTCTCTCTGCCCTTCCCCTGCTCACTCATGCTCTCTCTCTCTCTCTCAAAATAAATAAATGTAAAAAGTGTTTTAGTAAAAAGATTTAAGTATAAATTAAATGTAAAAAATATTAATTAAGTGCTTGTTCTGTGCCAACCACAATCTTGGAGCTGGGAATACAGTGGAGAATAAAATAGGTCTTTGCCCTCAGAGCTTACACCCCAGTGGGGGAGATGAACACTAAACAAATATTTTACGTTGGGCAATGGGCAAGGCACTGGGAAAATACACATGAAAAGCTGGCTAGAGAATCTCAGTCTACTGGGGAAAATGGGTAAGAAAGCCAATGTATTATACTGCGGTAACTGCTTTGGTAGAGGCACAGATTTAGAAAGTGACAAGAGAAAGGAATGGCCATTTCTGCCAAATAGAAAGATATTTTAGAGGAAGGGATTTTGGGGCGCTGTATTTTGAAGGGCTAAGTAGCCACGAGATAAAGAAGAGGGTGGGGGACGAGTACCAAGCAGAGGGGCAGTTCCACTCCATTCAGCTGATATTGACTGTATACAACTATGTCAAGACACGGGTGTGGACACTGAAGTAGCAAGAACAAGGCACAAGCCTGTCCCCAAGGAGTTAACAGACTAGTAGGTAGAGAGACAAACAGGCGAGTTCAAGTTGGCTTAGCAAGTTCAAGTTGGCTTACCAAGTTCAAGTATGAAGATATGCACAGGTGCTATGGGGTCTGAGCTAATGGCCCAGGAGGGCAAAAGGCAGAGGAGGGTGAATGAAGAATTTCTTTTTTATTTTTTAAATGTCTATTGATTTATTTTGAGAGAGAAGACAAACAGGGTAGGGAGGTAGTGAAGGAGGGCAGGGGTCGGGGGGTGGGGGGAGAGAGAGAGGGGGAGGGAGGGAGAGAGAGAGAGAGAGAGAGAGAGAGAGGAAAGAGAGGATCCCAAGCAGGCTCCATGCCAGAGGGTGGAGCCCCACACGGGGCTTGATCTCACAGTTGTGAGATCATGACCTGAGCAGAAATCAAGAGTAGGACGCTTAACCAACTGAGCCACCCAGGCACCCCATTTGTATGCATATATTTAAAAAAATAATTTCAAAGTAATTTTAGCCTACAGAGCCTTAAAAAAATTGTAGTTCAGATTAATAAATGTGTTTTAATGGACATACTCTCAAGAGTCCAAAGACTGCTCTGTGGAGGTATATTCTAGCTCAGTGACATAGATACAGATGCTCAGGAAGGAGTCTAATGTGTGTTTGTTCACCCAGGGCCAGGAAGGAATACTGGGAGAATCTTCGGATAGCCTCGGGCAGGCCATACAACCCTTCAATGTCAAAGCCTGATGCCTGGGGGGTGACCAAAGGAACAGCTGAGCTGATGCAGCAGAAAGAAGCCACCAGTGAGCAGCAGCTCAGAGAGCTCTTTGAAAAACAGAAATTCAAATCTGCACAGTAACCTCAGTGGAAACCATCTTTAGTGACTTTTATGTTTGGGCCACAGTTCCCCCAAATCAGGAAAAGACGGTTTAAAAGCAATGCTTATGTTAATGCTAGGCTACACATAAAACTGGTAGGAGCTGAACAACACAGAACTATAAATAGCACTTGACGATTTTAAAAGTATCATTTAGAAATTTACTTGCAAGCAAAATAAATAAGAAGTACATCTTAAACAGTTTCCCTTATACCATGTATAGGGTATTAGGGAAATCACTGTGGCCAAGGAAAAGTTATTCAGATATTCATTCCTACTTCAAGAAGTTTGCATTCTAGTAAGGAGAATGAGACAGGAGCTGTCATGACAGATAAAGTGCTATAGCGAAGTGACTTCCAAGTCCTTTTGAACATGACCCTTAGTAAGAAACAAAAGTTTTCGAATAACCCAGTAAAGCACATACTATACAACCAATGAAATAAAATGTGAGATTCATTTTGGCATTTTCTATTCTATTCCTTTCCATCCTATCTCACTGATAAAACATGCTAGTTGCAACACTACAAATTGATTTTATGACCCATTAGTGGGTTTTGACCCACGGTTTGAAAAACAACTGTTATGGAACACTTGAGATATGGGGACTTTGCTAGTTCTTTAAGTTTGTTCTTAGCAAATCACTCATGTGGGACCTGATCAATAAGTATCAAAAGACCAGAATCCTGCTCTCAGAGTTCCAGAGTTGTTCTCTCTCTTTCCTGACCCATTTCTACTGCTAAAAAAATGTATAGACCAATGGGGAGGGGAAAGGAGGCATCAGTATCTAGATTTTCTCCATCGTGCTCAAAAATGGATCCACCTAAATGCCTTTAGTCAGTAAGGCTGAGGAACAGTGAGCTTGTATTACATTGGTTGCTTTAAAAAAAGTATAATAGGGGCACCTGGGTGGTTCAGTCAGTTGAGCATCTGACTTCAGCTCAAGTCATGATCTCACGGTTCGTGGGTTCAAGCCCCTCAACCGGCTGTGTGCTGACAGCTCAGAGCCTGGAGCCTGCTTCAGATTCTGTGTCTCCCTCTCTCTCTGTCCCTCCCTTGCTGGTGCTCTGTCTCTCTCTCTCTCTCTCTCCCAAAAATAAATGAATATTAAAAAAATTTTTGTAAGTATAATAAAAAAAATAGGGATTCTCCAAACTCTTACTGAAGTTGCCTAGATTGAGAACTATGATATTTTTACATGATAACATCTACCCTCCCATGAGACCTCCCGCCTGAAGATGCAAGACATTAGCATAAATATGGCTATTCTCAATGTATGAAAAGTTCATGCTGCTTTCTACACATTCTTGGGTTAGGTGTTTTGAAATGTAATTTCTTCAGCTATTAAAAAAGAAGAGCAGTGAGACTACCTTGATTCTTATTTTCATTCTCTAATTTGCTTAAGTTTTACATGAAATTTCTATACATCAGTTTATTCATCTATTTTAAAAAAATAACAACTTTCCTACTTCACAAGTATTTGAGTTTTAAAGGAGAAGGCAGCAGTATTTAAGGGGAAAGAAATTTCCGGAGTTTTCTTGCTAAGATAATTATTAATCCATCCTTATCTTCCAGTGCATAGAAATAAAGCCAAAGGAATATGGCTTTCAGAGGCTGCATGTGGTTGAGGTGAAATAAAAGGAGAATGAATGTCATTTAAAAAAAAAAAAGTTGCTATCTACCATTTCTCACAAATCAGGTTCGGTATCTCATACTTCATTCATAGATGATAGAAACTTCTATTCAACTTACTGTTCTATTATAGTATAAGATAGATGACCCTTTAGTGCTCTTTTCAGAACTTTATTGCCACACAAAACATTATAATCTCTAATCATTCTTATATCCTTTGATTTAAAAAATATTCTCCTCAAAAGGAACTATACTGGTTGTGCTTGAATAGAACTATATGCCAACACTGCCTCCTAGCGGCATATTTCCTATACTGAAAAATTTTTTTTGAAATTCAACCCCTGCACCAAGTGTATTAGTTTTATTTCCTAAAATCTTGCTCATTAAAAGGAAGGCTTGTTTAATACCTAGGAGTTTCTTCAAGTTAAATTTAAAGACATTTCTCACTGGTAAAAGTATTTTTATGGAATCAGCCAGAGGGACCCTAAAGATCAGGAGTCCAAACTCTCCCTTTTAAGGATAAGATACCTAAGGTAGGATGCCAAGTCAGAAAGGACTTCTTGCTAGTCCCAGACTGCTGAGAAAGACGGTTTTAGCTTGGATCGGTGGTCGGAGGAGGGTGGAACCAGGACATACAGCTCACAAAATTAGGCAGTCCATCCTCCAACCCAGAAATAAAGATCCTTGCATTACTCACAGTCAATGTAAACTCACTGAATATATGGTTTGCAGTTTATGGCCCTACACTTCTTTACACTGCAGCAAAGTGACTTTGGGTAAGGAAGCCCTGGGAAAAGGGACCCGTAATGGAGACAGAAATGGACGGGAAAGAATCAAAAGCTTCGGTTTCCAACTTCTCCAGAGGGGGGCAGCAGGTCACCAGCAGGGAAGGCCTGAGGAGCCCTAGTTTGCTTTGAAGTGAAGTTATTGCATCAGACTAAACGAGCACGACATGGCAGAGGTATCTTGAGCCCTGTTTTTTGTTTTGGTCAGTTTTTTCCTAAGATGCATGGATCTTTGAATCCCATCCAGCACAACTTACCCAGCAAAGAAAGCCTTACATGTGTCCATTTCCCCCCAAGATCGTTCTTTTTCCCGGCTCGCACATAGCTTGGCTGAAATCATTAGACTGTTTTCCCAAACAGCCGCCCGTTAGTCAGGGAGTAGTGTGCCTGACAGTTCTGATAAACAACAGAATTAGAGAAAGCCAAGGCCCAGCACTTCTGAACACCTTCAGGAACAACTTCATGTTAGTGTTTGAACAGAAAACCTGAAACGCGGCCACATATGAGGACTTCTCACAGACGGTGGCAGGAAGGGCAGGGTCATTTGGTGAAAATTGGTGGGAGTGTGGTCAGGGAAAGGAATAGACAAAACGCTTCAGTTTTAGGGCAGCTGGAGGCATTCTGTGGGCCTTGGATAGAGGAGGAAATCAAGGGGATGGAAAGCAGAGACAGATGTCATCATTCGTGCGGCTGTGAGCTATAGAAATAATGCCGCTTTGAGCACAGCAAAATCAAACCGGTTGATTTACAGGCCACTAAATCAGAGGCACAATAATTTTAACACGTGGTTTGACATATTTGTGAAAGTCCCTATGTAAATTTTTGCAAGGAGATTTCATGGGAAACATTTAGCTTATTTTTAACCAAAATTTATTTCCCCAAATGCCTATAATATTTTTAGTAGTCATCACTTACATGCAATTTATAAATTATTCCTGTTTGTTCCTTCACACAGGTTCAGTGTGACCTCTATTTGGCCCCTTTTTGTGGTTATTTGCTCCAATTTACTACACAGCCTTGAAAGGAAAAAGCTGAAAATCTCTGAAAATAGTTCAAACTTTTCCCCCAATTCATCCTGGCCATTCTTCCAATTATTCTGACTTAATGAGATTTTACTGTTCTTTGGAAAGGTTAATGTCTCAACATGTGAATTTGCTTAGTGGAATTCAGCCATCTCCCCCAAAACACTAGTGCAATGTAGCAGAAAAAGCAATGAATAAATTTGGAATCAGGAGCTTGGGGTACAAGGCTTGCTTGGCCCCTGTCACACTGTACACCATTGGAGAAATCACCTCACTCCTCTGACCTTCAATTTTCTCATCAATAAGATGACAAATCTCTACCACCTCACAAAGAAAAACCCCACAATTTTATTTTTGTAACTTGATGGTATAGATAAGCAACAGCCTCATCATTGTGAACAAATATTTACCGAGTGCCACTTGGTCGTGTGCTTCCAGCAGACTTAACTGTTAATTAATTATTCCCCTGGCTACGCAGACAGCAGACTAAAACAAATAACACTGTTGAGAGGGCAGGGAAAATGTTATTAGCCTAGACTCGGTCTGGCACTGGGAAATGAAAAATGTCATTCCTTCCCACAGGTACTGCATCCTAGGGAGATTCGGGTCTGTGGTTTTTCATATTATGAACTGCTTCTGTTTTCAGGACTCAGAGTTCTTTGTAGGTTTCCATAAGCTATGGAAGTTCTAGAAACTGTTAAGTCAATGATTCTTGTTTAGAGTTTTTCCTCTACCTAAAAAGGAAGAGAACTGCCTTCTCACATGTTATAATCAAGTGGTGGAGTTTGGGAGCTAGAAGCCTCAGAACTTTTTCCTTCCATAAAGCCATTTTCAGAAGCTTGATGGCTCCTAGATTTAGATATCCAGATGGAACCATTCCCAAGAACATGTATTTGACATCAGCCTGACAGTTAGACCCAGGCCAGTCCCTCACCTGGGCCCTGGGCCTTGAACCCTGGGCCCCTACCCATGGTTGTCCAGGAAGATGCCTCAAAACTGGACCTGGTGACCAGAGATGCCCTCCCCCTAAATTTTTAAGTCCGTCTGTAGTGGCTAAGACTGGTCAGGGCCAGCTGAGCCATCCAGGAGGGGGGTGCCCCAAGCCTGGACACGTCAACATGGGACCTGGTCCTTGTTTCTTCCCTGTTGGGTGCCCAGTGATCCTCTGTACCCCTCTTCATACTTCCACCCCACTCCTGGAGCACCCAAGTCCCTCAAGAGGTCTGGGACTCTTTTTTGGCCCCAGTTCCAGCAGTGGCACCTGGGGACAGGATGCTCCCACTGGCAGATGCAGTGTTAATGTCCCAGAATCAAGTGAGATGGGCTGGCCAGTATAGTGCTAACACTGATTTTGTATGACTCATATCAGACACAGGACAAGTTCAGGGCTCTGGGCCATCAAAGATCTCTCCCAACCCTTGATTTGAGCAGCCTACAGGGGCCCCATGTTGGCTCTCACTTGTTGGGGTTCCCACCTCAGCACTAGCCACACTGCACAGAAGCCAAGAACATCAGAGGTGGCAATGGCTGTTCATCACCCTGTGCA